ATTTAATATCACATTTATTTCATTTGTTTTTTAATAATAACTTTTTTTAAATCAACTTGAATTTATTAATTTACATTTAATTATATATATATATTTAACTATATTAGTATAGTTATAAAAAGTATTGACGGCTCTTCGAATGTTATTTGATTGCATGAAAAAGGGAAGAAATTTATCTCATCTATCAGGTGAATATATATATCTATATTAGAATAAGGCCTAAGTAATTCATAATTAATGAAGTCTAACTAAATCCTAGTAAAATATAATCATAGAAAAAAATATACTAAAACTAATTAGGATCTAACAATAAACATATTATAAAATAAGTTCAATGAGTATATATAAAATTACAATAAAAGAAAAAATCAGAAGTATTTGATTGATAGAATTAGTGATAGTTAATATTTAAAAATAACAAATTACTAAATTTATTTTTAACGTACTAATTTAAATTTAAGCCGTTTCTTTTAATATATAATAAATTATCGTTCACAAATCGTTTTTTTTTAAGTAATAATACATAGAAGAAACCACCTTTGACTGGTATAGCATATTTTATATTATATATTATATTTAATTATTTTATATTAGATACTTGCAACGTTATAAGGATTGTTACAGTTAAATTGGAATTGAGCAGAGGATGAGAGAGACAATAATAACGGTTGGAAAGGGAGCGATGTGGGTGCCATATCGCCAAAGCCCGACCCGGGCCCGTAATCAATACGCCAGTGGCGGCACTCTGGCTCGCTGAGTCACCCGCGATTTACGTAACTCCCGCCCTAAGTCTGTATTCTTATTGGCGGGTCAGTGTTCCGTCACTGTCTCGCCAATTAGATATTAAGATTATTGGTTTAATTTTTCCTTTTTTATACGAACAATAAATTGTTAAATCTTAATATAACGGCGTAATAATAATAAGGATACTAATATATTTTAATATCTGAATATTGAGTATACAAATGTGTGTTTATTTTCTTTATTCAGTAATATAACATTCCTTCACAATTTAGACAATGGTTATAATATAAATGTATAGACAATATTTATAAAAAATATAAATATTAAAATAAACCAGAAGCAAGGTAATCATAAAAAATTAATAAAATAATTTCTAATGTGGTACTAAAGCGAATGGAGATTGAGCGAGGGCGCTCAATGAGTGTAAATAATGTATATATGTAAAAGATATCATTTTTATTTTTTAAATTGTATTTATGGTAGGTTATTAGAAAAGATATATTTTTATCGATGTTGTATATATATTATTACTTAATATTCACATTCAAGTTAGCTGAAGGCTTCAAGATATTTTGAATAATTTTTAAATTCTATAAAAAATAACTGTAAAAACTAATTTGTAATGTGGTGATAGATTGTGTGGGAAAAAAATATATGCTGTACTTATCTCTAAAAAAAAAAAAAATAGATTAAGATATTTTCACTTTTATATTAGAATAGAAAATTAGAAAACCAATATTTTCTGATAATTTTATTTACAAATAACTTCCAATTTTCATGATTATTAAATAAATGATAATTTTTTAGACTGCTACTGAGTGCAAAAAGTTACATCTTATTATTAATTGCTAAATTTATTAATAAGATGGCCTGAAGATGGGAACACGACGTCAAAAAGTCTACGAACAAATAAAAATATCTAAGAAATAAAGTTAGAAGATTAGTTTGCTGAAATTTCTAGATTTATTTTTATTTTAACATCAATTATTAAATATATTATAAGAACTAAAATAACGTTGACTTCAACATTGTTTCTTCATATTGTTTTATAAGTAATGTAGGTGTAAGATATATTATTACTATCCAAAATCTGCAGATAAAGAAAAGAAAAAATGATGCACGAACTTTTAAATTTCTAGTCTAAATTTAACTTGTAATTTAATTTTCGATGCAATATTCTATTATTTTGTTGTTGTAACATCTGTTGTGTAAAACTCAGATATATACTTTGAAGTGGTGGAATTCACTTTTATTTCAGTGTCCCATTGTAGCTCTATTTATATGTTTCAGTTTGAAGGACAGTTTCCTTATTTCAGTTTTTAATTCTTCAACAATCGTGGATTGAATAGAAAGAGGAGTATTTTAGTTATTGTATCTGTCATAGCATCATTTTATAGCCTTTATTCCGAATTAGTAAATCGCGTTGTTTAAGACACTTTACCAACCCTCAATATTTGGTTGAAATGTTTCAAAGGATTTCTGAAAAATGGTTCAGAAACTTTTTTAAAAAATTATTGAATAGTATATCTATGCGATTATCAGTAATAACAGTATAACAATAATTTCACATACCAAATACTTAATTAATTAAGTATATTTATGTAATTAATAAATAAATAATCAGAGGTTAATTGCGATTAAGATATGTAAGGGCTATCGTACACTATCATTCGAGGCCACAATATTATTGGCAGGGCTGTTGCCAATCCAAATGAAGATTGAAGAACGAACGACCTTATATAACATTAGAAAAGGAAAGAGAGGATACAAAGACCTGACCCTAGACAAAATAGAAAGAATCACTGACTGTAAATCTTGGTTACACCCTGCAACAAGTTTATGGACCGGGAATTACTTCTGAAAATACTGATGTTTTCACTGATGGTAGTAAGGACGGCGAGAATATTGGATGTGCATGGTTGTTCAGAGCTCAAGATGGTAGGAATATAGAACATCAATATAAATTAGAATCATATTGCTCAAATAATCAGGCAGAAAAATTCGCTGTTTTAAAGGTTACTGAATACATATATGAATACCCTCTACAAACGAATACTCACGTTACTATAAATACAGACAACAAAGTTCTGCTAGACTCTGTTAATAATTGGGACATTCATGATTACTTGACTGACCAAATTAGAAACAAATTGTTAATGATGAGAACTGTAGGGAAAGCAGTGACTCTACAATGGGTAAAAGCACATTGTGGGATTGAGGGCAATGAACGAGCCGATTGCCTTGCAAAAGAAGCAGCTAAAAGCGATTTGCCGCCATCGTATCATCAAGCTCCTTTATCGTATATTAATATGAATTTAAAGTTGGATTTCATCAAAAGATGGGATCACATATGGGTGACCTCAGCTAAGTCACCAAGCTTACACAGATTTATACCACACATTTCAATTCACAATTACAGACACATTCACAGTAATGACTACAAACTTGCGCAAGTACTTACGGAACATGGGAATACAAAACAATATCTTAAAAGATTCAACATTATACAAACAGACTTATGTGATGAAGACGGACAGGTTCAAAATTTTAAACATATAATATATGAATGTAAACGATTTGACAGACAGCGATTTGAGTTAATAAAAAGCATAATTATCAAAAGAGGAAATTGGCCTGAGACGGAACAAAAGTTATTTACTGAATTCAAGACAGACTTTCTTAGATTTATTAGATCGATCGACTTCGACTTCCTAACCAGGGATGGGCAGCGTGGGTGATTTCTTTTTGGCTTTGTTGGATTGACTTTGTGTGTTTAATATTTAATTTTTCGATTTAATTTTTGTGTGTTTATTCTTTGTGTTTTTTTTTTGTTAATGTATATAAATTTGAACTAAAAATGTAAATCATGTGAAACTAGAAAAAAAAACAATTGTAAACAAATGTAATTCATGTAGTATGTCTTTAAGGCATGGAGCATGAAGGAAAATAAAAAGGAAAGAAAAGGGGAAAAAAAGAATATATATATATATATATATATATATATATATATATATATAATATATATATATATATATATATATATATATATATATATATATATATATATATATATATATATATATATACATATATATATAAATATATATGGAAGATATAGTTTTCGGAAATTATTTAAAATCGGTGTTAAATAGATATTAATTTTCAAAGTAGTGCTGTAAAAATATATTGGTTCTAAACATCCAAAGCATATTTAATTTTTTTTTAAATATAATATGTATAGTGTATATTGTTAACTATAATATATAAATAGGATTTTTTAAAAATTTAATTTCAATGTTTTTTTGCTGTTTTGGTATATTTTATTTCATAAAAAAAATATTAAATTTGTTTATATTTTCTTTCCCGGATGATGCTATGAATCAAACCAATAAGCAACAATAGGTTTAAAACACTATCATTCTATCTTTCCATCATGGTAATTTGGTTTGTAAATGATTCTTAAGGAACAGAGAACCATGTTTTAATGTTAGTCCATTTTAATTTTTTTCCGTTGGTGCTCTGACCATATAGATCTTTGCTCGCGCGGTGTGTTCTTTTTAGAGTCCGGTGCAGCGATAGGGCAGATCTATAACTTTGGGGCCAATGTGGCATTGTTCTTCCACTAAGTCACTTGGGTTCAAGGATAGTGACAAAGTTGACTGAATCCATGAATTACGGTTGCTCATTGTCAATAAACCGACCACGGATCGAATCTCAGGTTTTCTATGATGTCAGCAACCATCCTGAAAAACAAGTGATTGGCGATTAAAGTACATTGGGTAGAGACATCACTCCTTTGCCAGATCTGTGTGAGCTCCAGTAGACGGATTGACCTCGCATACCCAGAGAAGGGGGAAGAATCTTGAGTAACATCATAGTTTTCTTTACCCGCTGACTCTCATCCGATTAGGGCAGTCACCCATCCAAGTATCTACCATGCTCGCTATTGCTTAACTTATTTACTTATTGAAAGCGACTTAACCGGTTTGGCCATCCCGGCTCCTATTAGTCCTTAATATTGATACAAAAATAATCCATAATAATTAAATAAAACGTATAATTTTACAATAACTCATTTTCTGTATTAAAGTTTAAACCAACTGCGCTCTGAAAAGAGTTCTTTTATATTTGTTTAGTTTTATTAATTTAGGGCAGGAAGTTATTAGGTAGAAGATAAGTGATGATTAGCGGTTTATCGAACCGCCATCTCTGACCTTTTAATTTTTTTTTAATTCAAGCTGAAATCAGTTTTTAGCTCATTTCGGGTTCGGGGCTGGATCGAGATTATACGGCTTAAAATCGTTAATAGGCATAAAGGCAAACTGACGCGAAGCCGTATTAAATATTTTGCATAATGATCTTCCTCGACTCGGTCGGTCATAAATGCCGAAGGGAACTGCTACTAAATCATATCGGTAATCGTGAAGAGCGACATTACCTTTGCCAATGAACGTCAGAGATAGCGGGCGGAGATGTCCTCGCTGCTAATACCGGGTCATAAGTCCCAATGACTCTAATGGAGCACAGTAAGGTGATAAGGAGTCCTCCCCTTCACGGCGGAGAAAGAACTTATGAACCTTATCTTCGGCCTCTCCGTACGGAAGGCACATTGCGGAAGGTGGGGCGGTACAATGGGTACCGAGGTACTTGTTCACCTTTTGATTATCTTCCTTACCGGCGTTGCATTACACATTTGTACAGTTGCCGAAAACGATGTCGTCCTTTCTAATAAGAGGTCGATCTTTCTAACACTGGTAAGGAAATGTTAAATTAGGAAATTTTATATCTTCGATTATATTTGCTAGGACATATCCCGCCATTCCACTTTATATAGCTTTGATCATTCTCTTATGTAAAGTTAACAGATTCTGCTTTATTAAAACCTACCCGTTTTGAATCACTTACGAAGTGACAGGATGGGACAATCTTAGGTCTAACAATAATATAAGAATACATCTAAGTATAAGAATACATTATTATTTTCGGTTTTGTGGAAAATAAGTACTAACAGCCAAGAAAGAAACATTTGTGGAAATAAAAATAATAATGATGGTTGACCGTTAATATAATATGAGAAGGAGTTAGTCGAGGGTACGGTCAAATAATTAAAGAGTGCGGTTGGCAAAAATTAAAATAATTTATATATTTTAATTTTTTTATTTATTTGACCGCACCCTCGACTAGCTCCTTCTCAAAAAATAATAATGGATAACTTAGAAATAACAGTTAAAAAAATACAAACTTTTCAAAGTAAATTAAAAAAATACTTGAGACAAAGATTCTGAATCATTTCATTCGATTAAGTATAATTAAAATAAAAAAAAAGAAATAAAGAAATTATCTGGAAGACTAAAGCTTAATGATTCGTTATGTAATGAACTCAGGATAAAAGAAGCCATTTTGTAAGCTTTTGTGGGATCTATGTAATTCATAAGATAAAAAAAGCATTAGCTACTACATGATGAGTTTAAAAATGTTTTAGTGAAGATTGGTACCCACCTCGGTTAGCGGTTATAATGCCACGACTTAAATAAAATGTAAAACGCTTTTTACTCATAATTCAAATCCATTTATACCAAATAAAAATCTCTATCGCAAATTTAAGAAAATGCGATATATGTTATAAAATAAAACTGTTGGTTGGAAAATTGGTAGAGGTCATGATGTTATATTTAAAAAGTGATTTACTGTAGATTCAAATACCTATTAAATTACTTTTCAATTACGATCTTTAAAATAATTAATGTTTCTATAACCAGGAATAGTTGGACTTAATATAAAAAGTGACTTGGGCGCATTAAAATTATAAGGCGTCATACTTTGACCCAACGTTGAGGGTGTGTCCACTCCAACAATAGTGATGACATACCGTCATCATCGATGGTAATGTTAAGTAAGCGCTACCTAGAATGTCCTTGGTATCTTCGTAGAGTATTCAAAAGTTTCTGTAAAATTTTTATGATGGATTTTACTAGATATATATAAATTAAAGTACTTATTGAAAGTTATATTTCAACGCAAATATGATATCATTGAGATCATTTTTAAAGGTTAAGTGCAATAGTTGATATGAAAAAATTGAAAGGTGTCAATATGGGGGATTAACACATCTGGATTCAACTGTATACCAAATACTTTAATGATAAACGAACAATATCAATTGATTTTTCCACATTTTTGATAAATAAATGGAACATTCAATTCTAAAGTAATGTTAGAATGTTCTTAAAACAAAAACCAAAAAAAAAAAAAAATCATGTTGACCTACTCAATCATTCTAATATTATCATAGATAAAAGATCTTATACTATTAAATGGTTTGAGGAGATTATATTTAAATAAATTTCCATATATTTCGCTTGAGCAAGGCAGGCATAAAAAAAAGTCAACAAAAGTAGGACAAAATATATAAAAGAATAAATATATATAATTCTGTTTGTCCTACTCGGAAAGGAAAAATTAAAATAATCTAAAAATATTCATTTTCTGAAAAAAAATTTAATTATACATTTAATAATTAAGAATACTTAAATTGTTTAATAGAGCTCTCTCAAAGAAGTTAAATGAAAAAAAAATCGAGTAAAACGTAAAAAAATAATTTAGTTTTATCGGATATTTCCTGGGTTTCTTAAAAATATTTTCATCCACCTACCTTTTCAATAGATTTTTAGTTTGTCGTTGATTATAATTTAATTTAACTCTACCGGATCTTGACTTAAACTTGGAATTCTTTAAAACGAAATCAATCGTTTCACTTGTTAATATCGGAGTTAATAGACTTTCTATTTTGTAGACCTGATAGTTTTTAAAGTGAATTAATTTCATAGTAAGAATTAAAGGATCGAAATTGGAATTCATCAAACCTCCAATCTGTTCTTTATTTTGTTTAAAAATAAATGTATTTATTTATTTTGCCTCTACTCCTAAAGTCTATTGATGTATTTTTTCAATTTGATATTCTTCAATAATCCTCCATTTCTTTTAAATATTTGAAAAGATTTTCTGTTTATTTTGTTCAGATTCTGGAGATTTTTATTCATTTTCGTTACCATTTATAAGTTTTCCTTTTGAACCGTGTACTCAAGTTATTTAAAGCTACTAAATTCTAAAAGTATGTATTTCACAGTTCAGGTTAGTTGGCAATGGGTGCAAGTTGGGCTTCCAATCTTTGCAAGAGGTATTTTTGGAGAAAACTCGTAGGTGACTGAATAGGGCTTATCCCGGTCTTGATTTTTGATTTGAAGTTTTCTATTTTATACATTTTTTTATTTCTTTTAGTTTTGCCTAACGCATATCCCAATGATTATTCCATTCCTTTTTTTTTTTTACGGAATGATTCACTTTGGTGAGTCCAATTTTCTTTAGGAATGGTTTGATTTATTATGCCTTGTGGTATTTATTAATGACCATCAGAGTTGGCAGCAGCATCTCATTACCCCACCCATCGCAGTAAATTATATCATGTCAGCATTTAGTTATAAAATAAAGTTAGAATATTCTTTAAAAAAAATAATCACGCTGACCTAGTCAATCCTTCTAATATTAGCCTGAGTGAAAGATCTGATACTGTTGAATGACTTGAGGGTGTTATATTTAAATAAATTTCCATATATTTCGCTTATACAAGGCAGACATAGAAAAAAAATAACAAAAACAGAAAAACAAAAGATTGAAGAATAAACAACTTCTGTTCCGTTCGGTTTGTCCTGCTGGGAAAGTAAATCACATTCTACCACGGACGGTATTTCTACTTTGAACATTGTTTTTTCAGGGTTTGGTTATTATAGCCGGTGAAGTTATTATATCAGGGAACAATGGCTACCTTCCCAAAATCAATCAGCAATACGGCGGCCGAACGAACCTGCAAAGTGTTGATAGTGAAAACAATTCATTGGGTCACGTTTCGGTATATCGACCCCTTGGGCCATGACTCACCCATATCGATTCGTCTCTCCCGCTGTCTGTATGTCTCAGGGACTTTGTTTTTCGTTCAACTAAATTATTTTTTGCTATTTCGCTTTGAATATTCCATATTATTTACTGCTGTTTTGCCAACAGAAAATTCTAATAAAAAATATTATTCCATGCTCAGTACCTTATATTTTACTAGCCGACAAACATTATCAAAACGACAGTATTTCTGTCATTCAGCATATCGACATTTATTATTATATTAAGTGAAAAAAAAATTAACAGAATTTTTAAATCAGTTTATCTGTTCAAATATTATTGAAAATGTGATTCTAATTATTGTCTATGCATATATACAAACCTTGAAATCTTTTTTTATTTATCTAATATAGCGTTCCCAAGCCTCATTCAACATTTTCCATAACACACTCAACCTATTAAAATTAAAATTCAAGCTTTTCTCATTCGAATTCCACTTTTTATTTATCTAAACTTTTAACTTAAAACTTTAGCTGAAAAAATTTCCAAAGCTCGGAATGACATTTTAACTTTATTTTGAAACGATTTCGGTATGACTGGAATCTTTATTTTATTTTTTTTTCCTTTCTAAATTTCAAATAAATGTTTTAAAGAAATTTTAGTATAAAAAAATAAACTTTTATTTTAAAAAAATATACTTTTATTTAAAATAAATATATTTTTATTTAAAAAAAATAAACTGTTATTTTGAAAAATAAACTTTATTTAAAGCTAAACTGAACATCGTTTCATCGAATTCATTTCACCAAAAAGTTTATCTAAAAAGCGACTTTAATTCTTAGTAAGCTACAGAAAATTAAGACACAATACTTTTTCCAAAACAGTTTCACAAAGCCTAACGATGAAGTTTCTAACAAAAAAGTTGCATAATAGTTTCAACCCATGAGTCTTTCGGTATGAGAGATATTTTGGGTAAAATAAAGAAATTAAATTAAATTAAATAAATTAAAATTTGAAACGAAGACGGTTGGATTTGGTTTAGAAAAGGCTTAGTTATTTTTCTTAAATGGTCGAATTTAAACTTTGAATAAATTTACTTTGATTTAGAAAAATTGAATTACATAAATTACAATCAAAAGCTGAAAATTTCAAGTTAATGCGATAAATTGGATTTTACAGTTTATAATAAAATTTATTTCCAAGTTATTATTTTAGTTTTTCCTTTGTTCTTTTACGTTTTTATTTTAAATTATAATGTAGTATTTCCATTTCAAATTCAATTTTCGATTTCTTTGAATTTTTCAACCAAAGAGTAAATTATCTCCTATAATGGAGAATTCTGAAATAAAAAAGTTTTAATGTCGTTTCCAAAATGTTAAATTTATTTTGGAAATAGTCGAAATTTGTGTTAAGAAAGGTTGAACATGACTTAAAAATGATCTAATAATAAAATAAAGTTTGAAAGTATTCCTTTATTAACAGTAACACATCACTTTCTAACTAGAGCCTTCTAAAAAAAAAAAAAGTGTCTAGGGATAATTTTCCCGGGCTCACTTAAATAATAAATTTGCCACTAAAACTCAAACAAAGCTTTTATGATATTTATTTATCAAAAATATTATGTAAAGTATAACTCATTTATTATATAACATATGTGAGAAATTATATAACATATGTGAATCACAAACATATACATACATGAAAAAATTATAAGTGTAAT